ACCCACATAACAAAGATGTGTTCAATTTTGGAAGTTTTTGTGGTTGGCTAAGTAGTCTAGATTCAAGTCCCTGGAAGAGTTTTTATATTGAGATTTTGGTCCCTTTCCCTCCACAAAAAGAAAAACCCAAACCAAAAAACAACACAAAAACCACCATCAATAAACAATTTACAAGTGCAATTGTTTAAATTGACTTTCCTGTTTGAAGATAAAATGGCATGTCTTCGTGTTGCTTAGTCTATTTTCTTTTCTTTACCTTGTCAGTTAGTTTTCCTGCTTAGTACTTAGGCTGTATCAGTGGTGAAGAGAGAGGATCAGGGGAGTCATGTAGAAGAAACAAAAGTGGCTTTCTAAATCTTATAAGATTTTAAGTTATAAGACAAGTTAATAAGTAATCTTATATTTTAATGGAGATATTAAGAAAAGTGAGACTTTTAAAATTAAGGAAATTAAGAAAAATAACTTAAAATTAGTATCTAAAGAAACTGTTATCCACTTGTGCAATATATACAAGGTAGGGCAAAAGTAGGCTTATAGTTGTTTGTATGTAAAATAATACAATAATTAATAAATAATAAATTATTATTTACTGTGTTTTGTGTACTCACAACTGTAACCCTACTTTTATCCCATCCTGCCTGAGCAAGAGATGAATCAAAGTTCACTGCTTCAATGCATTACCTTCATAACAATACAGTAATATACTTTATAGATATGAATATATGCAAATCAATGTAATGTATGTTATAGTAAATATTTTCCTTTGTACAAGGCTTGATAATTGTTAGAAGCATTATAAAATAGGATCTAGTAATTTCAGAAGAATGTATTTAATGCTACCACCATATTTTTAACAAATGAATCACAATATTATTAAGCTAGAGATCCCAATGTTTTAGTTTTCTTAAATCATGCTCACAGTTGTATATCAGGAAAGTCCCAGAAAGTCAGAAAGAAAGTGACCGGGGCATCTATATTTTGGGCAAAGAAAGAGAGAACAGATGAAGAAGGGATATTTCCTATTCTTTCTTTGCAAGTCTTGTTACATGAGGGAAAAAAAAGTGTTCTTGGAATAAATCCTATTTGCGCTCCATTTCTATACTTACATGATTAATTTCCAGAAATAGAGCTGTCAACACTACTGGAGAAAATAATTTCAAGGGCTTGGTAGATCAGAAATGTGTCAGCATCAAAACAAATGATGATTTAAAATAGCTCAAAACAATTTTTATTTTCCAGTGTATCCTCACCGCACCCAGAAAAGCCACTGATGTGAAGTCAGTAAGACCTTTAGCAAGAACAGCATTTGAAGGTAACTCTATGTTATTTAAATAGATGGGGGTGATACAAAGATGTGAAGCCACAAAGGCAGAAGCCACTTCTTAAGAAGGCTCAGAGGTGGGGCCATGAGGTTTATTGCGACAGGAAAGGAGGGGGTGAGAACTTTCATCAACAAAGAGGCTAGGGTAGGCTGGCTTTGAGTCCCACACCTTTTTTCATTGACTTAATTGAGACATTTGTACTTAAAACTAGGCTTTGTACAGAGAGAATAGATAACTTAATTCCAGATCATCTTCATTGGTTAGCATATCAAGGGCTGGGACTGGAGGGCTGCTCACAGTTGTACATCAGCAAAGTCCCAGGAAGTCAGGAAGAAGGTGACCTGCCCTTTCATTCCAGGGGCACCGGGCATTCTGGAGTCCAGGAGAGGAGTGCTGTGCTAGGTGAGCACAGAGGACTTTTATTACACGTCTCGTGTGGTTTCCTAGAGGAACACTTCTGAGCTAGGTGCCCTGGAGCAATCCAGGATTGCCAAGAGGCCAGGCAGAGGGAACCTGCATTATTGTAGCTTCTCTGAGTGACCCTGAGTGGCATGAATGGAAGGCCCTGCAAGTGCCTGCGTCCCCTTGGGTGATAGAGGAGTAGTAGAGACTCAGTCTGGGAAGCTTGCTAGAGAGGGTCTCCAGGGCTATGCAAAAATAACTCTGCGGTCAAGGGAGATGAAGGGCCAATCCACAGTGTCAGATGCTGAGGCAGCAGGCAGTAATGCATCTGCAGGCTGTGCAGTGATGCTGCACAGGGAAGCCAGCAGGGCCCTGAGCCTGAGGGAGCAACAGGAGAGCAGAAGGGAAGAATATGGTCCCTCAACTCTCTCTGAGATCCGCTCCCCCACTCCTTCACCACAAAGGCACTGCACGCTGTCCACCCCTCAAGGAAGAAAAGGAAATGGAGAAGAAATCCAAGGGAAATAATTTAATCTTGGAATTGACCATGTTACCTGAAAAACACTGATTCTTTATATTATTGGGTAGGTTTAATTTACCAGATTGCACTAAGCATAGTTTCTCACCTCTTATCCAGAGAGTAGGACCTTGGGAGGAGACTAGATCAGATGCAGGGAAATAAAGAGGCTTTTCTTTGACTGAGTGTAGGGTACAAATTTACAACAAATCACCCCCAAGGCCACTGCTAGCCTCTCGTCCTCATCTGCTCCTCTCTTCCTGTGGAGCTTCTTCCAATCATTCTCATAATAGCCAGGGCCCTCTGGGCCCGCCATTCCCCTCCTGAGGCATCACTCTGTCAGAGAACACAGTTTTCAGCACTGCGATCTCTCACTCTCATTCAGCAACAGTCAGCCCAAGTATGGACCAATTCGATTGGAGTGTGGTTGGGGTGCTAGAGCAGGAAGCTGCAGGCCCACGCTGTGTTAGGAACTACCTTCAGATGCTATACTGTGTGTGGGTGTCTCAGGGGAGAAGAGGAGCAACCGCTCAGGAGAGCTACTTTCCAACCACTATGGGAGAATTTCAATATTTTAACAGTCAGCACAGCCAGACTGGAATGTATTAACTGGATATTAGAAGCTTCTATGTCTTCTTTCTCTCTTTCAATCAGAGTCCAGACTCTCCAGAAGCCCACTATTTTTCTTACTCCCTCCAGGTCAAGGTTTTTAACCTCTCTCCCTTCCTTCCTTCCTTCCTTCCTTCCTTCCTTCCTTCCTTCCTTCCTTCCTTCCTTCCTTCCTTCCTTTCTTCCTTCCTTCCTTCCGTCTCAGCCCCAACCTCATAGCAGGAGCTGGTGTAGGGGAGTAAGAGAAGTAACAACTGCAAGTGGGGGTCTGGAAACTCATCCAGTGTTGGATCAGGAGAAACCCTGTCAATTCATGAACCCTCTGGTACATCTGAGCACATTTCCAGAACAGAATAATAAATGGTAGATTCACATTGAAATGAGGACTGCTGTTACACTGCTAGGTAGGGTCATATGGGCTGACAGGAACCTAATTACCCTTTAGGATGTTGCTTGTACAAAAACAATGCATTTACAAGTTCCCATTGAGCAATGTGTAAACAAGCCTCTTAGACACAAGCTATTCTAACTTGGGTACTATCAGAGTGATGAAATCTCTCTGTGTTTATTCTTCACTAGAGGCCTGATGCACAAAATTCATGCAAGAGTAGGCCTTCCTTCCCCCACTGCCATCACCAGCTTCCCTCTGGCACCTGGGACCCAGGCTTCCTCACAGAGGAAGGCCCTGCTCACCTGCCACAGCCCGCCAATCGGTGGCCTGGGCCTCCCTCTGCTGGGCCCACAACCAATCGCATCGCATCGGCCTTGGCTTGCCTGGCCTGGTGGCAGTGGGTGTCACAGTGTGGTCATCTGGAAGGTCATTCAGTCTAATTAGCATATTATGCTTTTGTTATTATAGTTTAGCAAAAACATCAAAATATACATATAATACAATGAGAAAGACAGTTAAATAAAGAAATTAAGGCAAAGGGACACTAATGTTAGAATAAATAAATTAAAGCCATACTTTCTGGTTTTAAAATGCATGTCTAAAGGCAAGTGAAGATTACTGCTAGCCAATAGAAAGAAAAATTCACTGGCTGCATAATTCCTGAGATTTTGTTTTGGCCTGATTACTCTGGAAAATGCTCAGTGATGCCTAGTCCTGCAGGCTGAGAAAAATCTCTCCCATGGATCCTCAGCCGAGGACTCCATGCACTGCTGTTACCTAGCATCATAGCTAACACTTAGTGGGGACTATACAAGTACTTCTCTGCACTGTTGCCTTCACATCTCAAAAACACTCTCTGAGGCTCTCCTGAGGTGAGGAGAAGGTGGCTCAGAGAACTTCAGCAAGTTGGCCAGGCCGTGCAGCTCAGAAATGGTGGGCCTGGGACTTGACTGGGTCTGTTGGTCACTGAAGTCCCTGCTGTTGTACGCTGTTTTATGAACAGTGACCCTGGAGTGACATCAGCCCGTACTTTCTGCTGTTTCTTAAAATGGCCTCAATAGCCAATGACAAAAATGTGTGTCCACAAAGGAGCAAATGATCTTCACACAGGAAGCCTAAAGCATGACTTGTAACACTTAAATTTTTTTATATTAAATTTTATACTTTCCACTTAGTAGGAATAAAAAAAAAAAGAATGTTATTTTTCAAGGCTACAAATTCTCTATTTCTTTAGTAAACAAGTCGAATTTTCAAAGTTCCATGTTATCTCTTTTGTGTAGGTTGTAGCTCTCCCACAGACTCTGAAGGGTTTTTTCACTCTCTATGCAAAGTCAAGTACCCTTGTCAATGCTAGAAGATTCTTTCTTAGTCTGCCATCTTTTGTTTAATCTTGCAGCTCTGCGGAAAGCAGCTTTGTTCTTTGTCCTACTTGCAAAAGGAACTTTCCACTCACACCAACTGGGAATATGAAATAGGTTATGTTTCCATCAAAGAAGAGCTTATTACTCGTTTGTGTAGTGTTCTCCCTTTGTGTCGAAGGGCAGCATTAAGTGAAGGCCCACAAAGCACCTTAGAGGCTAAAGAAGGATTACGTGGAAGGCTAAACCCCGAGGCAGGTTTATGTTCCCTGTAGTGCACTTTCCTGGGGCTTAGCATCTTTCCTCCTGGCTGTCGAGGACACCGGAGGGCACCGTATCTGTCATGAAATGGGACTAATCACCTTAGCTGAGTTCGTATTTAAGGCCAGGTGAAGTGACCGAGGCAGTGTTTGCTGCAAAGATCAGATGTGCTTTCCAACCTGCAGGCAGAGAAGCGTCTGCAAGGTAAAGGCAGAAAGTCTTCAGATGGCTTTTCCATGAGCAATGTCAACACCGAGACGTCTTCCCAGAGGATGTGAGTACACAAGTCTGCACACTGGTTAGTCCAGACTGAGGCTAGTCGCTTTTACCAAAAACATTTGCGTGTGTGAAATAAAAGGACAATTTGACCTTAAAAGGAATATAGTTCTATAGGAGTCTAATGAAAAATAGAGAAGTAAGAAAATAATCTTGTATAAGAATCATCAATAGCATTCCTCCCATAACCACTGGTAGGTACAATATAAGAAATATAAGAAATATGAGAAATATATATATATATATATATATATTTTTTTTTTAACACAGTACACTTTGGAAACATAAATTTATATAAAGTTTTATCTATAAATGTATTGGCTCCGTTACCAGCAGTATGGTAGTTAATAAATTCTTATTTGTCTGAAATTACTAACAAGTAAAGATAATATACTGCTCCCGCCAAGTAAAGAAAGAAATACTACCTTGCCTTCATTTGTTTAATATTTTAAGTGAAGGCAAAAGGAAGTTTTAAAAGATAAAGTGGGTTTAAAGTTACATATAAATTTAAGTGTTTTGTCATCTTCAAATATATTAAGTATCTGCCTCTTTGTGTTACTGCTTCATAGTCACTAGACATTATTATTTTAATGGCTTCCCTCCCATTCCAAAAATTGTCATAATATATAGACTAGGAAGTGTCAAAGTAGATAATTTCAGGGGGGAAAACATTGAGGAATAAGCAATTATAATTATGATATTATTTATATATTTTATGTTACTATTTCTTAAATCATTCTCTGCAACTATCTAAAATACCTAAAATTCAGTTCAGCTATGTGAGTACTCCTAGAATTTCTTTAGTCTATGTATGAATTTATATACAATAGATTTTGGTTCACAACCTTTTGAAGGAGGTGAACATAATTTATACAAACTGTAATAGCACATAACATACATTAAATTCAAGTAGAAAGGGTATTAATACATAATTTCTACTTGTTTAATGATGTCAAAGGTTTATCTCTTGTGCCACAATATCTGCAAATGTGCCTAGAAGTTTAAGAAGGTGTGGATGGATCTACTGACAATGAGCTTCCAGAATGAAAAGCAGTAGTCCTAACCGGTTTGACTCAGTGGGTAGAGAATCAGCCTGAGGACTGAAGGGTCCCAGGTTTGATTTCGGTCAAGGGAATGTACCTTGGCTGTGGTCACATCCCCAGTAGGAGGTGTGCAGGAGGCAGCTGATCGATGTTTCTCTCTCATTGATGTTTCTAACTCTCTATCCTTCTCCCTTCCTCTCTGTGTAAAAAAAAAAAAAAAAAAAAAATCAAAAAAATCAATAAAATGTATTTTAAAACAAAACAGAATGAAAAGAAATAAGTGGTGAGGGAGCCATGCACATACCATTTGCCTTCAACGACACCTCCTGGCTATATTCACTGTGATGAGCTATGTTTAGAAAGTGCTAAAGCACATGCCTCTAGCAAAAGTGAAATATATTTTATGGTCACTGCCAAATGCTTCTGTATTAAGTGTCTTTGCTGGCAATGCTACAGTGATAACTCTTGTTTATACTGTGTTAGAATAACAGAAAAGGTGCTTATTGTTATTTAAAACCAAAATTGAGTCTAGCTGCCTTTTAAAATGGGATGTTAGTGACTTAATTCAAGTCAGTAGACAAGAACTCCCTAAATCTCCTGTCTTTGGAAGAGATGGGAAGGAAGGGAGTCAGTAGTGACCCAGAGTGGAGGAACCATTGAGGAGAGGCTCAGAGAGAGTCTGGGAGAGGGTCTAGAGAGGTCTCTGAAAAACAAACTGGGAAGAACTGGTTTGGAGCTGTTGGGGTACCAGCTGAAAGAAGATCAAAGAAAAGAACAAGAAACCAGAGCCCCTGATTTGTCAAAAGAGGAATGGAGAAATCAGATTCACTTTTAAGTTGTTTTTGACATCCCCCTCCCCCCAACCAACTGGCCAAAACCTCAGTGAAGTCGGCTGCACGCTGAGAGTGGTTTTATGTGGTTATTGAGAGAAATGGATTGCATTCTGAGTCAGTGAGGCATTGGGTAGACTCGGAGCCCCACAAGAGCAAAACTGTTTAGACAGCTTGCCCACAGGGATAAAGTCCCTGGGAACAGATAGAAGCCTTGTGGAAGATGAGGGACGGGGGTGAAGGTGGTATCAGTGACTCCAATTTTAAGGAGCAATATCATTTGTCCTGTTATAAATTACTGTGATGCACATTGGAGATGGAAATATTTTAAACTATTTCTTCCACTTGAAATGAGTGCTTGGATAATTTTAGAATTCCCTTGTAATCTTCTCAAGAAATATGTGATTCTAGAATTAGAACAATCAAATATTTTAGGCCAATTTATTCATCTAGTCTTACCTTCAACTTTACTTCAATTAACAAATGTATTTTGAATATTGATATAATAATTTGTATTTTATTGTATTTAACACAATACTTTATATAAACACTCTAAAACTTTTCCCATGTTGGATATAACAATAGGTTTTTCACACTTCTGGCTATAGCTATGAGCAAAGAGCATGATGGTCTCTTATCACAGCCAATTCTTCTGTTAGAAATGTTTGATAAAGAAATGCTATAAGGCAACTCTTTTGGCTTTCCAAGTTTTAAAAATGATTTCCCATGCATTATTTTTAAAAACTAAAATATACTGAAGGAAGTATGAAATATACTTTAGCATTAACATGCTTTTCAGAACTCACATTAATATAGGACACTTAGGACTATGTGAGGATTGTTTTATGCCTTAAACAAAAGACTTCTAAGGCTATCTCTTTCTAATTTTAATTTAAGAATTTATATTTTTTTTCAAGAATTGTAGAAACACTTGATCCTCCTAATCTTTTTTAATGTAAAAAAAATTACCAAATACAGCAGTTATTTTAAAATGTACTTATTTAGCCGAAACCAGTTTGGCTCAGTGGTAAAGCGTTGGCCTGCGGACTGAAAGGTCCCGGGTTCGATTCCGGTCAAGGGCATGTACATTGGTTGCATGCACATCCCCGGTAGGGGGTGTGCAAGAGGCAGCTGGTCGATGTTTCTCATCGACGTTTCTAGCTCTCTATCTCTCTCCCTTCCTCTCTGTAAAAAATCAATAAAAATATATCTAAAAAATAAATAAAATGTACTTATTTAGAATGTATGTAGCCTACAATTCAAGCATCATACATGCAACGAGTATTTTCTATATAACTGCTCAAAATCAGACTTGGCCAAACTCAAATTGCACTGACTTTAATGAATAGCCACTTCATTTTATGTCATTCCATTTCGGTAAGAAAGTGAAACAGAATCAAATTTGCAGCTAGCTACTGTGCACCAGGCAAGCGTTCAGTAAGTATCTGCTGACTTGGCAAGGGCTACAGTTCATGAAATTCATGTCTTACTACAACTGCCCTAATCAGTTGAGACAGAATTAGCACTAGCTAAGTCGCCTTGGTGCTGCCTGAAGGAGTTTGTTGAGGGTAAGAGTCTGAAGACAGAGATTAAGGAGTCCTCATCCTCCTAAAGTGCTGGGCATCCCGGCTTAGAGCCCTGGGTCAGAGAAATCCCGCTGAATGCAGACCTCAGCACAGGGCACTCCCGCTTTGGGGACTGCCAGACACGCTCCGCATTTAAAACGGATATCCCAGTCTGCACTTTGAATCAAGAGCATTTCATCTGCCATAGCAAAGTGACCTTGGCTCACAATTTGTCTACGTATGTGTGTGTCTCTTTATAAAGAGGATTCCTGGAAAACATGAAAATTAGTGTTTAAAGACTCATGAGACAGTAGCTCCAAAATAGTGTATGTACAGAAACTTAGATTTGGAGCTTCACGTATCTATCTGGCTGATGAAAGGAAAGATCTGGCCAATTCCAGAATATTTCCTTGGAAGTGTCCTGATAGTATTTGCTTTAAAATATAATTTGGTTCAGGGGAGTGAAACTGTCCTGTATTTTGGTGAATACATGTCATTATACCCTTGTCAAAACCCATAGAATGTACAACACTAAGCACGACCTCTAAGGTAAACTGTGGACTTTGGGTGGGAAGTGATGTGTCGATGTAGAGTCATCAGTTGTAACAAATGCACCACGCCAGGGAATTCTATAAATTGTGGGGGAGAGGTATATGGCAAATTCTCTGTGCTATCTACTCAATTTTGTTATGAACCTAAAAATAAAAATATAAATGCTACCATATATATATAAATATATATATACACTAGTGCCCCAGTGCACAGACTCATGCACATTGAAAGTAAATTAATTAGAAGGTGTCCAGCAGGGCAGGACTGGGTGAAATGGGCTGGACGTGCCCTGGAGCCAACCTCTCTCAGTCCCTCCCCGGCCAGCAGTACCTAGGGCCATGCCAGGGCTCTAAGGGCATCTGCAGAGTGAGCGGGTTCCTATGGCAGGGAGGTCCCTCAGCCAGGCCTGCGAGGATCAGGCCAAAACTGCCTCTCTGACATCCCCTGAGGGGTCCTGGATTATAAGAGGGTGGTTCTCTAGTAATACATCCTGGAATCAGGCTCCCTCCTCTCTAGGGTGCATTATCCTAGAACCATAGCTGCCAAATCACCGGAGCTCAGCAGCTCCTGCATTGAACGTCTGCCCCCTGGTGGTCAGTGCACATCATAGCTACCAGTTGGATGGTCGAAGGGTCGCTTAGCCTTTTATATATATAGATATATGTATAGTTTTGGAAAACAAAAGAAGACAGGCACAACCTGAAAAAACCGAAGCATCTTAGTCCATTCAGGCTGCTGTAACCAAATACTAGAGTCTGAGTGGCTTATAAACAGAAAATCCCCAGAGGCAGGAAGTCCAAGATGCAGGTGCCAGCAGTCAGTGTCTGGTGAGGACCTGCTTCCTGGTTCATAGATGAGCATCTTCTTGTTGTGTCCTCATGTGGCTGAGGGGTCAAGGAGATCTCTGCGATCTCATTTCTAAGGACACAAGCTCATTCATGAGGGCTCTACCTTCATGACCTAATAACCCCCAAAAGACTCCACCTCCAACACCATCACATTGGGGATTAGGTTACAATAGAGGAATTTGGGGAGGGGAAGCAGAACATAAACATTCAGTCTATAATACCAGGCAATGTTGTTGTTGTTTTTTAAAGAAAATCAGGGCAGCAATAGATATGATCGTGGTAAGTAAAGAAACACTCCCTCACCAAAGAAACTAGGAAACCCAAGTGGAGCCCAGAATCATAACACTTAGATATTGCAGATGCCAGTGACTCATTGTTCTCTCCAGAGACCTCCATGATATAGGAATATTTCCCTAGATATTGGAAATAAATTACATTTTAAGTAAATCTTGGTGGATTGGATTGATTAAAAAATAATAAACTACCATATCAAAAGTGTAACATTTTATAGATTACATTCACTTCCCTTGACATAGCATAAAGAGAAAAAGCCAGACCCAAGAACCATAGAATCCAGAACAGATATGGTATCAAGAAGGGCTTTAAATTATATTAAATTAGGTAAGACTTGTCTCTGGGGTCTCATTTCTTTTTCTCCATTAGCCTCATAGCCTTGGGTCCCCGCTTATTTCATTGAATATGTGACTAACAGGGGGGGAAAAATCCTGCTGTGTTGTTGCAGACAATGGACCCTGCAGAGCCTCATAGGTATATGCCTGTGCCCGGTACCGGTGAACCTGGCAGTCCAGAAGAAAGGTATCTGTGCCGACTGTCTAGTGGAATGACACTAGAAGGTAACCACTTTGTCTCAATTGCGTTAGACACTGTTGCTGCCCTGTCCCATATCCCCTTGGTCCACTACTGAGTTCACCTGCAACTATGGAGGTCATCTTCCATCTCGAGCACATGCATTGCTCAGCTTCTCAGTCTGAAGGCTTTCTTCTGCACCATAGGACTTTGCTGGATCAGGCTCAGGCATAACCCAGATGCGAGGGAGAAGTGTCCTGACAGAAATTGCTGGGTAAATAGCCAACTCTTTGGCTTTCAGTGGGACATTTCTGAGGTGTGTGCCACGTGGATTTTTAGAAGGTCCCAGCATCAGTTGCCCACAATAGTAACTCACACATAACTCACTCTTTATTGGCTTTTTCCTTCCTCCTTTTACTTTCCCACTCCCTTTTGGGAAAATCTCTTGTCTCAAAGCCTGCTTAAGGGGATCCCAAATAAAACAGTCTCATCTACTTTTGGTGACTAATCTCCATGGCATTTCCCTAAATTGGCATGTGTGAGGAAGAGGTCAATGTCGAGGCAATCCTTGCTCCAGAGGAATTCTGCACTGCTCCCTGTCTTCCTTCCCCTTCCTCCTGATTTGTCTCAGGCGTCCCATAAAATGCAAGATGAGCACTGCATTTTATAATTTCAAAGATTCTATCTCATTCATGGGTAAATTCAAAGTTCTTCAAAAGACAACTTGTGACAGAAATCGAAGTTCATAATGTTTCAAAATGAACCACCAGGTTGTATCCCACATCATTCTGTTGTGTACTGGATAGAGGGGAAGAAGGTAGCTGTGCACAAAATTTCAAATGGAGGACCTGCGATTTCAAGCCACAGGGCAGTGTCCCTGCCAAAACCACAAGCCATGTCTTACATATGCCCAGCCCACATTCTTTGTTGGCATGCTTACCATGGCTGGCAGGCACCTTGTAGATATTTTTATTCTAATCCTGACAGAAATACAGTGAAAATAAATCAACACAAAAAAATATTAAAACATTTATAGATATACTAGAGGTCCGATGCATGGAAATTCATGCAAGAGTAGGCCTTTCCTTCCCCTGGCTGGCAGCACTGGCTTCCCTCTGGCTCCCAGGACCTGGGCTTTTCTCCTTCGGCTGACAGCAGGCACCCAGGACCTGGGCTACTTCCCTCCGGGCCTGGCTTTGTCAGGAAGGATGCCCGGAATGACATCCAGAAGACATCTGGTCTAATTAACATATTATCCTTTTATTATTATAGATTATTATTATAGATGGTGAAAGCAAATGTTAAGTGACCCATGGACTAGAATTTACAATTTTGTCAGTAGGTTTCTCTGATAAAGAAGCTAAAGAAGTGATTGCTTATTTAAATACCATTATATTTTTAGTTATTGAATCATATGATTGTATTAACTATTTAAAATTTAAATCAAATGTACACACAAGAAAGGAAGAAAGAAAGATCACTACTTTAAAAGCAGAATTTGTCTTCCTAATTTCCTTTTTTTTTTTCAAACATAGTTGTAGGCGTCTTGGTTTGTTTATTTATTTTGAGTACAACTGAAGATGCAGGAGAAGCTAAAATAACCTGTTTGACCTATATTTATTTAAATTTAAAATTATCTAAAGGACATTAAAAATTAACAAGAAAATGTAAGGCAAAATATTATCCCCAAAATAACGAACAAGAAAATGTAAGGCAAAATATTATCTCTTTTTCTGATCAGTAGTCTCTGAAGAGAAAGTTATAAATCCTTGTGTTTAGGTATGTTTGAATATAACTTGGTCACTTGTATTAGTTAACTATAGTCTCATGCTTTTAGCCTGTATCCTTTCTAATTAGATGTATTATTAGCCATTAAGAAGATTTCCCCTTCTTCTTCTTCTTTTTTTTTTTTTAATCCTATCAACTACTAGGAATATTTTTCCAAAGACTGAACACAAGAAAGTATTTGCATTTTTACCTCTAGTAACACACAAATCAAATTAAGCTGTAAGAGTGGAAGCTGGTATTTCTGGAATCTTGCAGGGCTGGTTTTATTTTGTTATTGTTACCTGTGGACTCTAAAACAAGTTTCAAGGGCACATGGATCAAACACAGCTCTACAGTTGTTGTCTGGGTGCTGACAATGGAGGGGTTTTTGTGTAACTGAAAGCAATTTCCCCCAAGTGCTGGGAAAACACAAAAGGTGTTCATTGTGTTAAGAAAAATTCAAATTGTTCTCAAAAAGTAGAGTTACTTATTAACAGATCTATCTGCTTCTTTTTAGAATTCCATCAGTGGCGAGAGGTATTGATGATAAATCCCACGGTGGCCATGAACCCTTTACTGACAGCATCAGGGCAGCAAAGGATCCCACTGGTTCCCTCACCATTTGAACCTCTGCCCGTGGATAGGTATTTATTTCCAACATAATATTATGGTCGAAGGAGAACATGGAACATCCTTAAGTTTTTGGATGATTTTAACCTCGGCGTTGTCTTATGGTCCAATGTTATTTCAGTGAACAGTGGTGCAATAATTCACGTCAAGATACTCTGCTGTACCTTCAACACGCTTCCCGCCATTTCCCCTTTGAGGCCTTGACATACTCAGCAAATAGCTAACAAGCACTTTTACCATGCGACAGGAATTGTGCAGGGACGGACATTGGTAGAGTCTATGAGAGCTGCCGTAACAAAATATCACAGACTAGATGGTTTCAACAACAGAAATTTATTTCTCCCAGTTCGAAAAGCTGAAAGCCCTATATCAAGGTGGCAGCAACATTGATTTGTGGTGAGACCTCTCTCCCCTGGTCTGCAGACAGCTGCCTTCTTGCCAAGTCCTCACATGACATTTTTCTCTGTACTTGTGCACCCCTGGCATCTCTTCCTCTTCTCATAAGGACAGCAGTCCTGTTAGATTAGGGCTCCACACTTTTGCCTTCATTTAAACTTTAATTACCCCATTAAAAGCTTTATCTCTGAATACAGTCACTTTGTGGAGTAGGACTTCAGGATTTGGATTTAGGGGACACAATTTAGTTCATAATAATTGGGTACCCTGGATTCCCTGTGATAGAACAATTCTTTCTTTTCAGGAAAAGTGACAGTATTAATATTTATGTTGCACACTTTGGCAGTTTCTTGTTTTACCTTCTTTAGAATATTCTGAGGAAAGAGTAAACATCTATTATTTATTCTTGTTCATGAAGTAGGAGCAATAAAATTGACTTCTAGAGAGCACCGAAGTTTGGCAAAATAAATAAATTACTTATCCAGAAAGTCAAACTTTGGTTCCAGTTGTCAAAATCCAAGTTAAATGTCTCCAGTAAAGAATAAAAAAATGTTGTGGTCACAAGTGTATGTTGGGTAGCTCTAACCCAAGACATGGCCTCTCATCGTCCTCCCAGACAACATAAGCTGAGCACCTACTCAAGTTTCTCCACAAACTACCGAACCCTGGGCTCCATGCAATCACCCAACCACCAGCCAGGCTGGCCAGCAGCATGGCTGGCATCTATGCAGGCCCTGGGGGCTTGGGCTCCTGGATCTCTGTGTTCCTCTCCATGAGCATGCAGGGTAGCTGGGGATCCAGGGTAGCTGGGGATCGGGGATCTGATGGGCATAGGGGGCATCCAGAGCAAGAAGTAGACTATGCAATGCCTGAATGATCACCTGGCCTCCTATCTGGAAAGGATGAGGATCCTGGAAGTTGATAATTGGAGGCTAGAGAGCAAAATCCAGGAACCTTTGGAGAAAAGGGGACCTTTGGTTAGAGACTATCTAGGATGTGTGGCTCAGATCTTTGCAACTTCTGTGGACAATGCCCACATTTTTCTGCAGATTGACAATGCCAGTCTTGCTGTTAATGACTTCAGAGTCAAGTATGAGACAGAGCTGGCCATGTACCAGTCTGTGGAAAATGACATCAATGGGCTTCGGAAGGTCACTGATATCATTATCACTTGGCTGTAGCTGGAGACAAGACAGAGATCGAGACTCTCAAGGAGTAGCTGCTCTTTTTGAAGAAGGAACACTGTGAGGAAGCTGGTCTATGAAACCAAATTATCAACTCTGGGTTGACTGTGGTGTTGGACGATCATGGTGGACATCTGGACCCACTATCGCCAGATGTTTCAGAAGAACCAAGAGATCTAGACAAGTACTGGTCCCAGCAGATTGAAGAGAGCACCACAGTGGTCACCTTGCAGACCACTGAGATAGAAGTTCCTGAGATGACACTCATGGAGCTAAGACATATGATCCAATCCTTGAACTCTATGAGAAAATTTGAAGGCCAACTTGGAGAACAGTTGAGGGAAATAGAGACATGCTATGCCGTAAAAATGGAAAAACTCGGTAGGATTTGCTCCAGCTGGAGTCAGAGCTGGAGTCAGAGCTGGAGTCAGAGCTGGCCCATACCAGGACATGGGATAGGGGGGGGGGGGGGGGGGGAGGCAGCTCAGCACTAAGAGTATAAGACAATGCTGAACATCAAGGGCGAGCTGGAAGCTGAGATAGCCATCTACCACCCTCTTTCTAGAAGAAGGGAAGGACTTTGATCCTGATAATACCCTGGACAACAGCAACTCCATGCAATCCATCCAAAAGACCATCACCTGCAGGACTGTGGGTGGCTAAGTGGTATCTGAGATCAATGACACCAAAGTTTTGAGGTGTTAAGGTAGCAGAAGCAGGGAACTCCTTGAAGGCGGGGGGGAGGGGGGGAAGGAAAGGGGGGATTAAAAAGTTCAAAGATTGTTAAAGATTTTTTTTTTAAAAAGGAATATTATGTTGGTCATGGAAAATCAGATGTTTTCTTTCAGACAATCCTAAAACTTTTCTTTCCTATTTTCTCTGTTGTTGTCAGTTGGGTCAATCCTTTCTTAGCAGAGTCCTTCCTCCAATCTTCCTTACCCTATTTCTATTTAAACCAATAGAGAGTGCAGGACTTCTGTACTTCATTTTGGGAAGAGATGATAGAATCCAATATGGCAATAAAACAAAATCTCATTGCCTATGCAATGGAAATTTTGTACAGTTACCTTCTCATTTTATCTATTTCATATCTTTTTCCCCCCCTAGAGATGCATTGCCCTCCACTGTGGCTCCAACTGATCCAAGACAGTTTTGCATTCCATACCGATTTGGATCCTCTGTTCAACCAAATGTAAATATGCCAAACATGATGTCCAATCGTGTCTACTCAGGTATGAACAATGGATCTCGTATGTGGAGCCACTGTGAACTGGAGGCTGAAGGATATAGCAGTTATACTTGTAGTTTCTTCAGTTAGTACTTAGATTTAAATTATGGTTTCACCACTGTGTGACCAAGTGGAAATTGTTTCGCTTCTCCAACTATCAATTTACTGATAAATAACATGAAAATCTGCAATATTACTGTCTGTCTTACATATAAGGAACTGATGAGTTCAGGAGGAAAGGAGAGTTGAGAGTTAAAGGGGCCGAAGGAAGTTTATATGTGGCCTAATAGGCATAGTGAGGACTTACCTTTAAAAGAAAAATTATTGATTTTTTACAGATAGAAATGGAGAAGGATAGAGTTAGAATCAGCGATGAGAGGCAAACATCGATCAGCTCCCTCCTGCCAACCCCCTGCGATGTGCCTGCAACAAAGACACATGTCCTTTGACTGAAACCATTTCCATTTTATAAAACATCATTTTGTTGTACTTTTTAAAAGGATTGGTCCATGTTGGAGTGGAAATTTAAAAAGAAAAGAATTATCTCACCATAGATGGTTTGAGAAGCACCAGTATAGATGCTAGGTGCATAAGGAGTGCAGATAAAGAAAAAGTCCATATAGTGTTAACTTACTAGTCAAGAATAGAGCCTTGAGTTCTGATTATGCTGCCATTATTTCAAGACATTTTAGTAGATTGACACAAGGAATACAATTGCTACCCAACTCCGTTAAAATCATTTAGGAAAAAGTATTTTCCTCAGATGCACCAAGATGTCCAGATAGAGAACTACATATTTTATCCTCTTAGCTCATGCACTTATTTCCAGGGATTTCAGTGTATCAAGGAAACACTTAGTTACATTTTTTTAAAGGTAAACTAATTCCTTTTGTACCAAAAGTGTGTGGGGGGAGAGGGGCTATCAATTTTTACTTCAAAAGCAAGAGATCACAGGATCCACAGTTCATTTTATAGATTTCCTTTTGGTGGCAGGAAATGTCACCAATCATGGACCAACCTTAAAGAAAAAGTATCTAGTGTTATCATGATGCCCTCACCAACATGATTCCAAGGTGCTGACTGGCAATGGTACTGTTTCCAACATGGTGCTCAACTAGTGATTTTGCAATACTATTTTAATCAGTATACTTTATTATTTTCAAATGAATGTTGTTAATTTGTTTGTGGGGCGGGATGTTGATTTTCTTTCTTAAGGTTGGGGCATTTTACCACCGGAATCCGTAAAGGCCATGGCCAGGAAGAATGAAATGATCCAAAGGCAGCATACTGCTAGGTAACGTAATAATGCTGCTTTATTTATCTTTTATTCATTCACTTGTTTGTTTATTCATTTGTTTTAGATAGGTAAATAGAGTTATATATATACTTTTATATACGGTATACATTCATTCATTTATTGTATTTGTATATTGTTGTATTTGTGTATGTTGTTATATGTGCATATATATATATTCTGAATGAATATATGTATATATCTATGTATACATCTCTATATGTAGATACACACACACACACACACACACACACACACACACACTCTGATTAATTATGGTTACCTAGAAAAATACTTCAAGAATATTACAAAAAAAAAAAATCTCCTGAATAATAAAAGGCTAATATGCAAATCGACCGAACAGTGGAATGACTAGTCACTATGATGCACATTGACCATCAGGGGACAGATGCTCAACACAGGAGCTGCCCTCTGGTGGTCAGTGCCCTCCCACAGGGGGAACGCCACTCAGCCAAAAGCCCTGAGCTGGACTCACGACTGGCAAGAGCAGTGGCACTACCACCTCCATAGCAGCACTAAGGATTTTGATTGTTGGCTTAGGCCCACTCCTCACATAGAGCAGGCCTAAGCCTTCAGTCAGAGATTCCCCCAAGGGCTCCTGGGCTGCCCTCTAGTGTATGTGTGTGTGTGTGTGTGTGTATGTATATATATATATACTAGAGGCCCAGTGCATGAAAAACCCCCTCACAGTCTGGGAGGGCTCAGGGGTGGAAGGCGACCCAGTGATCAGGGGGAGGTGACGCCCCATCATACCTCTGCTGCTGCCATTGCTGGCAGCACAAGCCTCTGCCAGCCCTGGTTACCTGAGCCTCAGGCAGCCCTGGGAAGGTGGGCAGCCACCATCCAAGACTTGCCTGCACCTTGGGCCTGCCCTAGGCATCTGGGCAGCTGCCATCTGAGGTTTGCCTGTACCTTGGGCCAGCCCTGGGCAGCTGTGGGGCTGAGGGAAGGTCTGGCTGCACCACGCACCTGCCAACCCCCAGCCAAGGCTGAAAGGACTGGGTCCTCCAATGGGGCTGAGGGGACTGTGCACCGCCATCTTGTGGCCCTAGGCGCTGCCATATTTGTGATGGTGTGATGGTCAATTTGCATATTCCCTCTTTATGAAATAGGATACACACACACACATACACACACAAACACACATACAGGTTGGTTAAAGATAAAAGCATGATTAGAAATTCTGTAGTGAACCTAAGTTTACAGACTGTAATAGTTTGTGGATGTCTCATGATTAAAATGCCTAGCAGAGATTCCTCTGAAATTCATGCTGGCATTTTTAACTTAAATGACTTGAATTCTGCTCAAAAATAGAAGTCAAGGTTGCCACTCCCATTTCAGACAACACCAGCAGAGTTCAGGCAGCGCCCCCCCAGCCCCCACCCTTCAGCCCAGCAGTGCCCTTTAGCTGTAGCTACCAGGAGAAAGGAAATATAACAGTAATGACTGGGGTATGGCTGTGGGGAAAGAAGGCTTCAGGGTCAATTTTCTTACCACCAAACCTAAGGGGCCCAGGTGATAACCAATAAGCCATGTAAAGTAAGCAGAACACTCTCCTCTTCCACCCCAACTCCTGGAGTAATTTGTGACTGTTGAGACTTGCATGACTTACTATGGTTCTTGAGTCCCACTAAAATTGTATGGCGGGGTTTAAAAACCTCTTCCAGAACTTTAGTTCCTTTGAAGATTAATCTCTGGTAAGAAACGTCCCAGGGCTGCATTATTAACTTATAGTAGAAATGTATATAAATGTAACAGGCAAACTTGTTAAATTGGTCAGATCTATTAGAGTAAGTCTCTACAGACTGGCCTTGGACTACCATTGTGAGAGTCAGCCATGCCCTTCACTTTATGGGGGATTCGCATTATATACGGTATACATTCATTCATTTATTATATTTGTATATTGTTGTATTTGTGTATTTTGCTATATGTGCATGTATATACATTCTGAATAAATATATGTATAATATATACCTATGTATACATCTCTATATGTAGATATATACACACACACTCTGATTAATTATGATTACCTAGAAAAATACTTCAAGAATATTACAAAAAACTTCAGATAGCGTGAATTGCAACAAACTTCAGATCGTGTGAAGATTCACAAGAAAAACAGAGGTGCTAGGGAAGGCAGAGGGCCAATAAAATTATATTTAAAAAATTTTTTTAAATTATTTGGGCTGATACTGGTTAATAAATTATATAGGTTTCAAGTGTACAATTCCATATATACATGATCTATATATTGTATTGTGAGTCTCCTTCCATCACCATAAAATTCTATTTCTAATGGTTTTCTTGGGTTGCATAAAATACTTTGTTTTGCTTTAGGTTGGAAATGGAAATGCATGCCATCTACCAGCAAAGGAGAACAGACAAAGTGAATCCCACAGGATTTGCGGGCCTGGGGGTACCATTCCCCTATGGCTCCAGTATCTCCAGTGGCCCAGCCACCTGCCATGGCAGGAGCATGCTCCCTACCGGTGACCTGCATTTGCACAGACGCTCCCTGAGAAGTCTTCATGGAAACCCCATGCTAGTGGCAACTGGTCCACGCTATCTAGAGGGCTGGGGGCAGAAATGTCGTCATCTCAGGAGAGGTACCGGGAATCAGAAAGTTCTAGACAGTGATATTGAGAGTTCCAAAAGTCAAGCAGGAGAAAAATCCGTAGGCCAGGTTCATGTGATTCCCTATGAAGAGGATGAGTATGCCAAAGACCCAGAAACGGAAGCTCTCAGCAACCAGAAGTCAAGCGAAGCCAACGAGAAGCCAACTGCAGTTCTCACCAATACCTGTAGAGAGTTAGAGCCCACCCAGAGAGAACCCTGGGGAACTCATGATGCAAAGGCCTGGGATGGTGGGAGAGACAAGGTTTCAGAGCAGGTGTTTGCAGCCTGTGGTGAAAAGAACGGGGTTTACCCTCCAGTTCCTCAAACATCTTTGCCAGGTGGGTATCCATGAGCAAGGTCAATGGCAAATTCTCATGAACCACAGATCCTCAAGTCCTTAAGTAATTACATAGAGAATTAAAACCATCATGCTTCCTTTTATCCTTTATTTTCTTAATCCCGTTTAGAATGACCTCTTTTTGAAGTCATTTTATTACTTTAGTTCTAAGAAGCCATACCGGTGAAACTAATCTCTCTTTATACAGCTATGTAGAGAATTTACAGCAAAGGTTAGGTAGGCAAATATGAGGAAGATGGGGCAACCTACCAGAATTTTTCATTAAAAATTTAATTCAATTTGCTGTTAATTTCTTCAATACAAAATAGAGGGGCTTCTTGCTTAAAAATATGAATTCTATCTGTATTTACTTTCAGTATTAACTTTCAGTGCCCATTACTGTTAATGATACCTTCTGACCTAAAAATATTAATGCACTTTTCCCCTCCAAACACTAAAGTTCTAGTTTTCTAGAACTTCTTTAGATAAAAATATTTTAAACTACAGGAATTGGAGGGGATCATGATCTGGCCACCAGACCAACTGCTTCCTTACAAAGTGTGAATTTGCTGTTTTGATGAAGATGCGACTAAATCCCTACATTGCCTAGAGAGCATGATAAATTGCAAAACGTCATAGGACATGGTGGTGTTAGTCTCCAGAATGAAATCCACAGGGCATTTCTATTGGAATCTAAGGGAAGCTGCTCTGGGACTTCTTTGTTTACTTAAGATAATGTTGTCATTAAAGAGTTTTTAGATTTGCAGGGGTGGAAAACCTTCTTTTTGCCAAGGTCATTTTGTTATTTATGACATTATTTGAGGGCCATACAAAATTATCAACTTAAAAATTAGCCTGCTATATTTGGTCATACTCCCCCCACCCAATCTTTATTGTTGAAAGTATTACATATGTCCCCCATCGACCTCTTCTAGCCCACCCACCTCACTGCTAAGGCCTTGACAGGGCCAGATCAAATGATTTCGTGGGCCTTATATGGCCCTCGGGCTGGATGTTCCCCTTCCCTGTTGAGAGGAAGAAAAGAAAAGAGGCAGCTAAGCTTTTTAGAAAACACCTCTCAATAACTCTTAATATTCTTGAAGGAGTTCACATGTAGATCTCTACAAAAGGGCCACTTCATGGTACTAAAATTGATGTAGCTGTACATAAAACAGTGCTCTTAGTGTCCTCCTTTCCCCTGGAAATTTTATACCACCCAATAACTGTCTTTCCGTCTTAAAGGAACACATGTACTGGTTACAAGAGGGGAGACTCTGTCTGTGGGTGAGGATATTCAGAAGTGGAGTGTGAGTGATGTGCACAACTTCATCCGTGGCCTTCCGGGTTGTTCAGACTACGCTCAGGTGACCTGAATTTAAGTATTTTCATAGGAATTCATAAGATACTTTGAAATATATTTCCTTTATAATGAGTTCAGTCAAACTTGCACTTTTTCACCCTCAAGAGGATTCCTAATAATCTCATCCCTTTTGGGGCATTGGCTATTTTGGCACAGGAGCTTCTGTTTGGTGGAGGGATGGTCCCATGCCCACACCCCAGCTGGCAAAGTTTCTGTCCTATCAAGACTCCTGAGAGGTGGGAATTCTCCCCAAATTAGGAGATTCAGAGTCCAAAGATGGAAAAAGAATGAGAAATGTCTAGTATCTTCCCTGCTCCTCCATAAACAATTATCTTAGGAACATATACTTCTGTACCAGAAGTTTTAGGCTACTCATAATAGGTAACAGAAATATATACTTCATTTTAAAAGGACAAGACAGCCCTAGCTGGTTTGGCTCAATGGATAGAGCGTCAGCCTGCGGATTGAAGGTTCCCAGGTTCCATTCCAGGTGGGGGCACATGCCTGGCTTGTGGGTTCCATCCCCAGTGGGAGGACATGCAGGAGGCAGCTGATCAATGATTCTCTCTCATCATTGATGTTTCTATCTCTCTCTCTCTCCCTCTCCCTTCTTCTCTGAAATCAATTTAAAAATAAAAAATAAAATAAAAAGGACAAAAGCAGATCTGAAAAGCTGGAGATTAATTGTTCTTAAATTCGATATTCATGCTAGAACAATATACAAAACTGCACAGATAAATACTACTTTCTTAAAAATTCCATTAATGTCAGGATAGGTGGGAAGAAGAGTACTTTCATTCATATAGGAAAATCAGTGACAAAAATCATGGGTTGGCAAGTTTTTGAAGTTTATGTCAATGCTACATTTTCATGCATATGGTTTACTTTTTCAAATGATTTAATAACACAATTTCAAGCAACACTGTGCCTATTAAATCATGTATCATTGTCTTACTATATATGTTTATGTATTAAAGGGGGGAAAAAGCAAGAAAAGGACATTATGATTTAACAACATCATAATTAACTGATGTTAGAGATCATGGTGTTTCAATGGTGTGAGAATATTTTTCTTTTTTTTTTTTTTTTTTTTTTTTTTTAGATTTTAAAATTTATTCTTAGAAGTGTAAAAATTTCTTAATTAAAAAAAAAAAACAACAACAATAAATAAGGATGCCTATAATTAATATGTGATCACCCCAAATCACTCACTCTACTGAATTCTTTTTTTTTTTTTTTTTTTTTTTTATGCTCCTTTGACAGGTTTATTCTCTTTTTTTTTTTTTTTTTTTTTTACATATTTTAATGATTTTTTTTGCCCCCCTCCCTCCCTCCCCCATAGCCCCTCCCTCCCCATAGTTTTATGTCCATTGGTTGTACTTATATGCATGTATACAAGTCCTTCGGTTGATCTATTATCTCCCCCAGATCCTCCTCCCCTCCCCGCTGTAATTTGACAATCTGCTTGTTGCTTTACTGTCGGTGTGAGAATATTTTTCTTCATGTATTGCTGTTAAGTATTTTTCGTTTTTGGCTTTGTTTATGAGACTTACAAAAAAGTTATATGGAGTAGTAATTAAGAGTGTACTTATGAAACCAGAAACTGTAAGTTCAAATCCTGGCTTTTCCACTTTCTGGACATGTGATCTAAGATAATTTTCATCTCTTCTCTGTGTCTCAGTTTTCTCATCTGTAAATAGGGATAGTATAATATTCTCTCAAGGAATGTTATAAACAATAAAGAGTTCCTGGCATCTTGTCAATACTGAATAAGTGCTAATTTCATCATTATATCAGCCAGAAATAAGCAACCCACTATATAATGTACATGTCATTAATGACTTTATTTTTATGGCTGACTTCTGATGGATTGTATCTGTTTGAACTCTCATTATTATTAATCAGTCAGTGATTCAACCATAAAAGTTTAGTTTATGTCCAGCTGGTGTGGCTCAGTGGTTGAGTGTCGACCAATGAACCAGGAACTCACAGTTCAATTCCCTGTCAGGGCACATGACCAGGCTATGGGCTTAATCCCCAGTGGGGGATGTGCAGGAGGCAGCTGATTCTCTCCCATCATTGATGTTTCTCTCTCTCTCTCTCTCTCCCTTCTTCTCTGAAATCAATATAAAAATTTTATTTAAAGTGCAGTTTATAAAAACCACTCTTGTAAAAAATAATGTTACGTTTCAAACCTTATCATCCAAATGTTCTCTTGGAAGTTACATAGAAACCAATACCCAAACTTTGTTGACTCATTATCTCTCACCAACAGGATGTCAGTTCTCCCTTCCCCAGCCCAAGAAGCAGAAATGATTATTTCTAGATGTTTCTCAAACACGCTTAGGTCAAGTCCTGCTCTTGTTTTCTCATTAAAGCCCATTCCCTCCCAGGAACTACTGGCGAGGTCGATTACAAGAGCGCTGCTGCTCTCCTGGGTACGGCCCCAGCACGGAGAGTGACCGTGTTCTGTACAGAAATGGGAGAATTCTCCTGGATGCAGAAGACTGGGTGCAGTCTGGTTGCAACAAACTCCTAAGCAGCACTGCCTGTGCACAACTTTCACAAGTACCCTTGTCCAAACATGCCTTAGGTTTTTATTCACAGCCCAGACACTTGTCAGGGTTACAACCACTGTTCCCTACCCTCTTCTTCCTCACCTCTGCCTTAGGTATCTACTCAGCAATCTCCCTCCACCTGCCTCCTGCAGATAGAAAAGGAAATCCAGAAAAAACATAACCACAGCTAAAACCCAAGCCCCAATGTAAACTAACCCCTTTATTTATTTTTTTCCCCTTTCAAACGAACCCCTTCAAACAGGTGTAGAGAAAGAGTTGTTTAGGGACATCCAGGAGACCTGCAACATGTTTTGTTTGTCTAAGGAAATGAACTCAGCAGATACAATCTTCTCTCCCTAAAAATAACTGGAATTAGTAAAACCATGTGCACATTTAAAAAAAATATATATATATATTTTATTGATTTTACATAGAGAGGAATTGAGAGGGATAGAGAGTTAGAAACGTCGATGAGAGAGAAACACTGACCAGCTGCCTCTTGCACACCACCCACCGGGGATGTGCCCACAACCAAGACCGGAATTGAACCTGGGACCTTTCAGTCCACAAGCCGATGCTCTATCAACTGAGCCAAACCGGTTTTGGCAAACCATGTGCACATTTATATAGTGCTTTGGGCCCTAACTGCTCGCAGGAGAATGAGAATGAGACATCTGAGAGACAGTGACGTGTTCTGAGTCTTAGCCTCAGGCCCAGGGCTCATCTGGCAAGGCTGAGGGTTCAGGCCTCACGCATGTCAGTCCCTGGCGGCCACACTGCCTCTGAAAATGTACCCCTGTGGTATCTCTCTCTCTCTCTCTCTCTCTCTCTCTCTCTCTCTCTCTCTCTCCCACCCCTTTTTCTTTTTTCTTTTTTTCTTTTTTCTTTTTTGTGCTTTCTGATAGTCCCTAACTGCTCACTGGAATTCCTACCAACAGGGAAAAAATAAGCAAAATTCCCACCATCAATATACTTTACTATGTTCGTCAGCACTCCTTTTTCTGAATGGCAGTGGAATTAAGCAGGGGAAATCCTGGCTCAGAATCAAAAACTATATGCTATTTTGTAAGTTCTCTAACTGGCAAGCTATACTTCTTAGGCAACTCCCTAACCTTCTCTACATTGCTCTCTCGTTTATTAAAAAAAATAATAATAAGAAGAAGAATAATACCTATACTTTATTGGGTTGACTAGATGCGAGGCACTATCCTAGGCACATCATTTACAGATTAGCTTTTAAATTTAGTCTATAGCATAATTTTGCAAAAATAGGGGATACTAGCCCTATTTTTCAGTTAAATAAGAATGACATCAAGGTGGCTAAAAGAGTAAGTACTTGAAAAATGTGTATGTGACTACAAATCCAGCTCTTTCCATTCTACATTGAGGATATTGAGCCAGATGGTTTCTAGTCAAGAGCCCCTAGGAGTTCTCAAAGAGGTAAGAGACCCTTGAGTTATCCTTTATATTTCAGAAAACCTAAGGGAGATCATCCATTTTCCCAAGAGAAGGCTACAAGACTAACCTAAATTGCCAGTTTTCTTTCTTAGGCCTAAATGAAGTTAATTTATATTAGCCATCCTATGATTTGCTTAATTAAGATAAGAAGAGAAACAATTACTTAATAAACATATTTTTGCAAATAGCTACAATATGTTAGCACACAAAGTTCCTGGCACGGAAGCTTCCCAGGCAGATCCCAGTTTTTAGTTGACTCCATGGCATCCGGTCAAGGCCTGGACACACAGCGGAAACAAGACAAACGTGGTTCCCCTCCCTGGGAGCTTGTATCCCAGAAGAGGGACACTATTAAGGGGTTCACGTCAGGGCAAGACGTGCAGGGAGAGAGGGCAGGTATGCGCCTCGTGGCTTCCTGCAGGAAGAGGCATCAAAAGTGAGACCTGTCAATGAGCTGACCAGCTGAGGAAGAAAGTGAGGCAGCAGAGAGGCAAAGGAGGAATTTCTAGGAAGGACTAGGGAGCCAGAGAGAAGGTAGAGAAGTAACTAGTTGGGTTTTTGAGAGCAGTTTCTAGTGGCCCGCAGAGGGCCAGGGCCAAGGTGAGAGAGGAGAGAATGGCAAGACAGGAGACGGGAGTGGGGAAAGGGGCCAGGTCACAAGGAGCCTTGAAGACTCAGCGATGGACTTTATCCCAGAGACGATGGAAGTTTAAGAAGTTTAGGGGGCCTGATGCAGTGGGGGCCAGACATGGTGGGGATCTCCCTTTTCCACGTCCCGCATGGAAAGAGAGATGAACGAACCGGTTCTAAGTGGAGGTGGCCAGGGATTGAGAAATAATAGAAATAAAGAGAGAAGACACAGAGATATATTTTAAGCTGGGAGCTGGGTGGGCCACCATCCTGTCTGCTGGAGAGACAGGAAGACTACGACAACGACGACGACACTGGCCCCTCCCAGCGCATTCATTTTATACCCCCAATACCAGGAAGTAACACCAATTTATTTAGGCATTCTTAAATCTAGCATGCCTGGATTTACATATCTAGTCCCGCCTCTGCTGACACTTGGGCTGATATGAAGGCCAAGCTGACAACATGACCACCATCTTGGGGAAACATGTTCCCCAGGCGTGGCTCTGCCTACACTCTGAGTTCAGCTGACGATAATTAAAGAAAATTGCCCATGTGCCTTCCCAGGCGGCCCTCTACAAAGAAGTGGTGTGATTAGCTTTATTTCAGAAGGATCACTCAAGTTACTTTTATGAAAATAGGTTGAAGGTGGCCAGACTAGTGGGAGAGCCTCCTCAGAGGAGCAACAGTGAAATTTGATTCAAGGCTGAAACAATGGGGCTGGCTAATAAATACGCCATCTAAGAGGCAGAATTGCCATCATTGGCCTCTAAGTTAGATGTACATCGTAGAGCCTGCAGTGAGAGACACTCACGGAAGCCCAGAGAGAGACCGAAATGAATCAGAAACAACAAAGGGGACCTGGGTCAGATGCCTCAGAGATGCTAATATACAAGGATGGACAAGGAAACAGTTGCCACAGAGAGCCGAAACCGGTTTGGCTCAGTGGATAGAGCGTCGGCCTGCGGACTGAAAGGTCCCGGGTTCAATTCTGGTCAAGGGCATGTACCTGGGTTGCAGGCACATCCCCAGTAGGAGGTGTGCAAGAGGCAGCTGATCGATGATTCTTTCTCATCCATGTTTCTAACTCTCTATTCTTCTCCTTTCCTCTCTGTAAAAAATCAATAAAATATATATAAAATATATATTTATATAAAATATATATAAAATATATTTAAAAAAAATATATATATATATATTTTTTTTTATAAGTCACCACAAAGAGTTATTGAAGAGCATGAACACTGTGCTACTGGGGCACAGAAGAGAGAGTAACTGAAATAAGAAATGTTATAAAATGTTGTGTTGTTCCCTGGCAATGTTTCCTCCAAAACTAAGCTACCTGCACATAAAACGAGAACTTTTTAAAAAAAGATACCGAGACAGTGTTAATATCTTTTGTGTTTTCTAAGGTATTTAAAGATCATGCAATTGATGGAGAAACTTTGCCATTACTCACAGAGGAGCATCTTCGAAGCACTATGGGGCTAAAGCTAGGGCCAGCACTAAAGATCCAGCTGCAGGTATGGCCATTTTTTCATAGCTAGATATCTACTAAGGGTATGAAGCTTAGGAGAAATATGTTACTTTCATCCTGTTGTAATATTCCTAATACCTATTTAACCTCCTTCCCCTCTTTGGATGGGGGCATAGTAGAAGTGAGGGAACCTGAAAGCTCTGGAATGGAGTAGTAGCATGCATTCCTAGGTGTAGCTGGGAAGGCAAAATGCAATGGTGTGCTAGCAAATGTTTAACAACCAGCTCGCTTTAAAATCAAAATGAACCCAGATTTGTAGCACCTGTCAATTTCTACAGTGTAAATATTCACACCATGGCTGACAGACTCTCAGTGTCATGTCACTGGATACAGACTTGGGAAGAGATGCACAGAGCATCCCATTGTAGAGTGCCACGTGAAGAGAATAGACACAAGTAGCCTCAGCAGCAGAGATAATGAATGAGAAGAGAATTAGGTAAAGACAGTTTGGAAGTGATGAGTTTTAGGTTTTTATTACTTTAGTTTCCAATATAGAATTTTACATTGTAAATTTATATAATTTAATTTTTTATTATAGTCTACATGCACTCTTATAACATCATGTATTTACTTGTAAGTTTATAAAATTAAAATTTTAACAATGGCATATTTAAAATTTGCCAATTCCTGGCTTGCAAATTCCCTAGAGATGTAACAGTTGACTCTCAGGACTGGAACAAGCCAGCTCCAGTGCAACACTTCTCACCATCTCCACCTTCCACCATCTCCACCATTCATTCGGGTCTAAGGCTCCATCGTCTTTCACTGGGTTCCTGCATTCGCCTTCTCACTGTTGTCCCTGCTCTGCCCTCGCCCAGCCAGAGCCTAGTCACAAAGCAGTGAAGGATTATTCTTCTAGTACAGTCATGCACAGCTAACAATGGGGATACTTCTGAGAAATGTGTTCTCAGGCAATTTCACTGTGTGAATGCCATAGAGTGCACTACACAAACAGAGATGGTATAGTCTACTACACACCTAGATTATAGGCATAGCCTATTCCTCCTAGGCTACAAGCCTGTGCAGCGTGTCATTGCACAAAACATGGGATTAAAGCAAGCGGATGAGGAAACAGTAAATATGAGATGCATGAGGTTGCTGCCACCATAACACGGGCATACAGTTTCATAGGAAACTTTTTTCTATAAGTAGAAATAGTACACTCTAAAATAGGGGTGTCGAACTCAATCAGAGAAGGGGCCAAAATCTAAAATCCAGACTAAATCGCGGGCCGAATGGTTTACTGAACAGTCATAAACTGTCATTGTGATGGAAACGCAGCGGAGTGCAGTGATGACAGCGCGGTGCGGGCCACATTGCAAGGCCTGGCGGGACAGATTTGGCCCGCGGGCCTTGTGTTTGACACATGTGCTCTAAAATAATGCCAATGTTGTGGGTTCAATCCCCGATCAAGGTGCATACAAGACTCAACCAATGAATGCATGAATAAGTGGGACAACAAATCAATGTTTTTTTTCTCTTTTTCTCTCCCTCTCTCGCTCTACAGTCAATCAATAAATAAACATTTAAAAAATAACAGTAAAAATATAGTCAATACATAAACCAGTAATGCAGTCATGTATTATCAAATATTATGTTCTTTACATAATTGTATGTGCTATAATTTTATACAATTGGCAGCTCAGTAGGTTTACACCAGCATCACCACAAACAAATAAGTAATGCAACATGACAATGGCTTGCCATCCCTAGGCAAAAGGAATTTTCCAGCTCCATTATAATCTTATGGGACTAGCATTGTATATGTGGTTTAATATTGACTGAAACCTTTAGTTGTGCAATGCCTAAGACAGACCATGTTATTCTTCTGCTCAAAAGTTTGCAATATCTCCCCATCTCCTTCAGAGTACAAGCCAAGGTCCTATTTATTTTCACTCCTCCCCTCCCACCACCACCCTAACCTTCCTCATTCATATACTTTTCTCCCCCACAGTTACTGCTTCTGCTCACACACCACTGGCTACTTCAGCGTGTAGGCAGGCTCCACCATAGGGCCATTCTCTCCACCTGGGATGCTCCCCCTTCTGATAGACTCATGCTTTGCTCTCTCTACCTTCTCAGTGAGGCTTGCTTTGATCACCCTACTTAAAATTGCACACAGCCCAGCTCATGCATACTACTATTCCCTTTTTCTGCTCTCTCTTTTTTTCCTAATAGCACTTATCACCTTCAATCATACGATCTAATTTATTTATTGGTTATGTTAATGTTCATTGTTGATTTCCTTCTGCCCCCTCTAGAATTGTTTGAAGGCTAATGAAGGAATCCAGTGAGAGCAAAGATCTTTATTTGTTTTGTTGACTCATGTATCCTTAGAATATGAAAGCTCTGTAACAGGTAGAAAATTATTTGTTGAAAGAAGGGGTTTCCATGAAGCATCAACTAATTCTTCCCAGAATTTATACTGCATTATAAGGCATCTTTTTATACTACATGTTTATGCCAGGAGCTGAGATTTCAAATATTCTTCAAAAGCCATTTTTATCTGCCTAAAAAATTTAAGGTAAAGAATGTTGTTGTTGATAATGCAAATACTTTCATATTTCCATTGTTATTCTTTTTTTAATCTTTTTTTGGAATAATTTTAGATACAGAAAAGATGCAAAGATAGTACAGAGTTCGCTCAGCTTTTGCTAGTATTAAAATCTTACATAAATCTTACATTTGTCAAAGTTAAGAAATTAACAGTAGTAAATATAGTATTCACTTTTACGTGATTTCTTTTTTGGTGAGGATGCTATATCTCTTGGCATGCTTAAATGACACTACATGGTTTTTACTTTGGCTTTGATTTATTTCTTTAGAAAAAAATTTTTTGACTTTACAATGTGGCCAACTCCAAATCATTTTTAAGCTTCTCCTCAGTTGCTGTTAGCATTGCTCCCTATATAATTTTCAGGAGGCTGTGCTTGGATCTGATATGTATAAGTGCTTCCATGAAGCGCAGCTGAGCTGTTAGAGCCATCTGCCAGCATAACAGGACTGGGCTTCCACAGAAGCTGGTAAGATGGTGGGGGAGTGGAAGTCTAGCTGATCCCAGACATTCAACCAAACAGAATGGTTGTGGAGTCCTTGGGATTGGGAAGGCCCAGGGGTTCAACTGAAGCAGCAGAATTGTAAGATTCTGAGGAACCCCTGGAAGACCTAGGAGGTGAGCAGGCAGGAGGTCCTCAGATAAGATATCTTGGTGGATAAGATAAAGTCTCAATCTCCAAAATGGTAATCAACGGCAATATTGCATTACAGAGAGCCTGCTAAGAAGGAAACACTTTCTCCAGAATAGAGGCTTAGAAGGTGGACCTGAACTGAGCATGAAAGGGGTAGGAAGAAAAAAGAATTACTGGCATTTGAGAACTCAAATATTATCAGCATGGAGGATGCTGGGTTTGAGCTGTTACATTGTAAAAAATACAGAATCTCCTGGGTCCCATTCAGGATCAGGTTTGTGTAGGAGCCCTATAGTTAGTATTGGACACTAACTGTCATAACAGCTCCATTTCTGTCTCAACACTAAGCTTTGTGCTGAGATTGTCCAAAAACTTCCAGCTGTTAGCCAGGAGAAGGACCAGCTGGGTGTTAGAGAAGGTGGAGAGGGTTGCCTGTGGGACCTCTTGTGAGACCACTGAAAAGGGAGAGGTGGAGTGAACTCAAAGTGAAATAATTATGTGTGCAGATGAGCCACAGCAGAACTAGGGATGGGAATTGGAAAGTTGCTACCGCCTTGATAGCCAGTTTCACAGCAGTGGCCACTGTATGAATCTGAGAGAATGTGTCCCAGAATCATGTCTCCCACAACAATACAGATGCCCGTGCCTGAAATTACCCCATCTTCCCTGTCCTCTGTGGCCAATCAGAGTATGCTGGGTTATTGAAAGAACTCAGAGGCTTAATTACTATAATTATTTTGTCTTCAAAGGTATCTCAGCATATGGAAAGTACATTCTACAAGAAAAGTTTTTCACTTCCTACCCACACAAAACAAGCGTTTGATCAACCAGCAGCCACGTCCCTTCTTCTGGATTTTAATTCCTGGGGTGACACAGTGGACAGGACCTGTTCGCAGGATACAGTAATTCCTAAAGGAATGGAGCGAGATAGTATGAAAAACTAAAACCCTCAAGAAGCAAGAACAGTCTTAGTTTTCCAAAGTCTAGGGTATTCTGAAGGGTGTGTGAGGGCCTCCTGGGACCAGGTGGAAGCAGAGAGAGAGAGAGAGAGAGAGAGAGAGAGAGAGAGAGAGAGAGAGAGAGAGAGAGAGAACGCCCCAGTCCTCCCAAAGTTGTCTTGGAGGAGGCCTTGCCCAAGAGGACTCCGGAGGTGACCTCAGCACAAGGTGACTGAAGGCAAATTCCTGAAAGCCCAAGCTAAATGCAGGAGAGAATGTGCAAACACTAACAAAAACCACAGGTGGATGTTTCCTTAAGAAAAATTCTGAAGAAGCCAAAACAGCTGATACTGGGGGCTGGGGAATGGGACCAGCTCCTTAACCTCTCTTCACTCATTTCCCAGCTCCCAGAAAGAGACAAAGACAGAGAAGGCAGAAGAAAATGCGAAGTACAAAGTAGAGAAACAGAGAAGCTGACCACAAGCCTTCCACCGCAAAGCCTCTGCTTTAAGGTAGGAAAGGGAAGACCTTTCCACCTCAAAGTTCGGAGTCAGCGATTAGTCAGCATTTTCTTTCTATCTGCCATAAAACTACGTTTTGGCTAAAAATAGCGGGCAGGCTCCTCCTTATCTGAGAGGGCCATGAAAAGGCATAATGCCCACCTCAGGTTTCAGCCAAGGGGTGGAGTGCAGTTATCCCTGCAAAGCAGGCTGAACCGGCAGGATGGAGGGGAGAAGATTACAGTGGCTTTCTGCGTGCACCCTGTGGAGTTCCACGCTCATCTTCATGCCCAGCAGAGACCCTCTGAGAGGATGCACAAGGAACTGGCACAAGTTTGCTCAAGGCAGGGGGTGGGGGACCCGGTGACTTTAGTCCTGCGGGAGGCTTGCTTCTTACCCTCTTATACATTTTGAATTTCTAACTAATGCAATGTTTTCTTTTCTTTTTTTTTTTCTAATTTACATTTAAAATAAAGAAACAGTAGTAAGCAGCCTCTAAGGTGGCCCCCAATGATCTCTGCTTTCTGACCTTCATGTCCTTAGGCAATCCCCTCCTCTTTGGACTGAGCTGGACTTGACTCTTTTCTAATGAATGGAATATGAAAGGCATGATGGGAGGTTCACTCTGGGGGGGTTCTGTCTGGGGTGCTCCCTCACTCCCTGGAATACTTTTTCTTGAAGTAGCCTCTGGGCAGCCCCAGAGAGAGGCGCGGGGTGATTGAACTTGGAAATGGATCTTCTGAGGGCTGCCAACAGCCACAGGAGGGAACTTGAAGGTGGCTCTTCCGAGAATCAAGCTTTCGGATGACTATATGGCTCCTGCCCCCAGTATGAATGGCAGCCCTGAGCCAGGGCCCCCAGCTTAGCTGCTCCCGGATCCCTGACACATAGGAACTGTGAGATAATAAATCGGTGTTGTTTTCAGCCACTAAGTTTTGGAGTAAATTTGTTTCATAGCAATAGATAACTAAAACAAACGAATTACACCGATAAACATATATAACATGCTTTTCTATAATATATTGGAAGAAATCAGGCTTTCCCAGAGTGTGGGCTTTTTCTCTGATTTAAAGAATGGGTTCTTAAAGTCATTCTGCTACAAATCAATCTAATTTATTCGGGCTTTTCTTCCCTTTATTTTTAATATAAAAAAGTTTTTTCCTGCTTTTATATTATATTATACTATCAAATATGCATATGACTTGCTTGTTTACTCTCTCTGGAGATACACGTTTGCATGTGCGCGCGCACGCGCGCGCGCGCGCACACACACACACACACACACACAGAATCCCTTCAAATTTTAAAATTCTAAAGAAGTTTTGTCACATGACCTTTCAACTGCTGTAATTCCCAGCATACAGAAGTTTCACAAGAAATTGCTGTATACCAAATGTGAGTTAACAGATGCTATGGTGTGGATAGAAAGAGAAGCTTAGTACGTATTTTTAGAGGCAAAGAAGTCATGTGGTTCAGTACATAGAATGGCTTTTGAATTTGTTATTCCTGCTAGATGAGTCAATTGAACTGGTAACTGACTCATTTGAACAGATGTGTCTCCTTGTTGCTCTAAGAAAATATTCCGATATGCCATCCTGGTATGCACCATCACCAAAAAAAGCTCTGTGATTAATTTTAGGTCCTGCATCAAAAAGGGCCAGGGACACATGCAAAGAGGCTCTCCCTGGCTCTCAGCACTTTTCTTTGGAAGAGAGGGAGATTGAAATGGCTTGTCACACTAAGATTGCTTTCTTTCCGGGTTAATGATTTGTAAGATAACTTTCAACAAAAAGACACACGTTTGTAACAGAAATTATTTTGGAGGGTGAAAATTTCACTCATATGGAAAATTCCATAAATGCTACTTTAATCCTGAACATGCTCGGTACCCCTTTGAGAATTAAACAACAGCAATGCCAGCAACAAAAATCTCGCTCATGTTTGAAAACCAAACACAATAAACTATGTTTGCTAAATAGATTCTTCTGACTTATAAAATATTCTGTTTAGACAGACTGAATAAATGTGTGTGTGTGTGCGCGTGTGTGTGTGTGTGTGTAACAATATGCCTGCTTCTTCTATGGAAGTATTAGAGCTAGTAAAAAGCAGTAATAGAATTCAAATATCACCATTTTGCACCTTTAAAAAATAAAGTATCTAGACAATAATCACAAATGGTTGCTGACATCACAAAAAAAGAAACAACCAGACATTATATGCCTCCTGATGGAATAGTTATGAAATAGAAAAATGCAAACTCTGGGAAAATCAGGTAATAGTAAAAATTGCCTGATTTTCTTCAACAAATAAATTGCAAGGAAAAACAGAGAGAGGGAAAAGGAAAACCAGTAGATTAAAAGATATACTAAAGATTCAAATTACCCAGAGGTAAGTTTTGGAAACAGGAGTGATAATGGTTGCACAACATTGTCAATGTAATTAATGCCCTGGATTATACACTTAATAATAGTTAAAATCACAAATTTTATTATATATGTAGATATAAGTACTTATTACAATAAAACGTTTTAAAGATTCAAGTCACCCAATATAAATATTTGGATGCCTATTGAATATACTGTAAAAAATAAAACAATTGGAGAAAATTTAACACAATTAGAAATATTAAATTCTATTAAAGAATTATTGTATTTTTTAAAATGTGATATTAGTATTTTGGAGGATTTTTAAAATTTTAATAAGAACTTTAACATGAAAATTTTCCTCTTAACAATTTTAAGTACACAATAAAATACTGTTAACTGTAGGAACAATGTTGTACAGTAATTCTCTAGAACTTACTCATCTTACCCATGTTTTTTAAAAGTGTTATACATACATTCCAAGAGATAACACTTTTAAAAAACATGGGTAAGATGAGTAAGTTCTAGAGAATTACTGTACAACATTGTTCCTACAGTTAACAGTATTTTATTGTGTACTTAAATTGTGTACTCTTCAGTATTTCATCAATGAGAGAGAAAATATGTACAGATGCTGGATCTGGGATTACCTTACCAACAACATAATAAATTTACCACTCACTAGTATCATTTTTTGGAGGTTGGCAGAATACTCAAGACTCTTGGGTCAGAGACAAAGGACTTTATAACACACAATACAATAAACATCATGAATGTCAATATATTTCTTTTTGTCCTCAAGTGTCATGGGGGCAACACAGATAAGACATGAAGTGGGTTGCCTGCCCATGCAATGGATTGCTTCACAGCTGAGGAACACTGAGCTTGGGGAACCCACTAATTTTATAGCAAGCAGTAAACAAGCATGCTCTTTTTCCAGGGGTGGAGAAGGAGTGTGGAAGGGTGAGGAGATATTACCTCATTTCTTGAGGTTATCAGGTGCATAAGCAATAAAGCTAATTGTGACCCAATAGCCTAAGCACCTATTTTTAAAGCTAATTTCCCAGCCACCAAAGGAAAAACAACACTGACTCACACCTCATTTTTGTAGTCCATTCTTGGCCAGACCCTTTACTTTGACTCATAGGAAAAGAGAAAAGCTTATTATCATTATTATTACTGACCCAGTGCATGAAATCGCATGAGACCCATACCCTGGGAAATTGTGTGAGACTCGGGACCCCAAACCCTGCGATGCTGTGGGATTAAAGTAATTCATAACTGTAATTTTGCTACTGTTAATGAATCATAATTTTGTTAGTAAATCATAATTTTGCTACTGTTAATGAATCTACAGCAGCGGTTCTCAACCTATGGTTTGTGACCTACAGGTTGAAAACTGCTAGCAGGGTTGCCTAAGACCATCGGAAAACACAGATATTTACATTATGATTCATAACAGTAGCAAAATTACAGTTATGAAGTAGCAATGAAAATAATTTATGGTTGGGGGTCACCACAATGGGTCGTGGCAATAGAAAGATTGAGAACCAGTGGTACAGACCCTTAATTTTGTTTTTCATTTGCAATAACTCATCTCACCCTTTTGGTTATTAGCCCATTGAGAGCAGCAACTATGACTTCTAAATTCGTGCATTATTTCAAAGTACCACCAACAACAAATGGTCGGCAAATGGGATTAAGTTATATGATGTGATGATTATAATACTAATCTTTTAAATTGAGAAGTACTTTTAAAAAAATATTTTTTATTGATTTTTTACAGAGAGGAAGGGAGAAGAATAAAAAGTTAGAAACATCAGTGAGAGAGAAACATCGATTCAGCTGCTTCATGAACACTCCCTACTGGTGATGTGCCCACAACCAAGGTACATGCCCTTGGTACTTGACCGGAACCAAACCTGGGACCCTTCAGTCCACAGTCTGATGGTCTATCCACTGAGCCAAACCAGTCAGGGCAATACTAATTTCTTTTGATTAATTGTTCTCTAGAATCCCAAAATACATTGTAAAAAATATATATTAGCATCATAAGATGATGGTTTTCCATCACCCTTCCAGATTCTCTGTCCATCTCTCTCCACCATGCTCAGTGCCCCAAGAGGTGGGGTTGATTGGACTTCATCAAATGGCCTTCTTTTGCTCTGACTTTCACTTGGGTTTGGCCAATAGGAAATACCAATAGAGAGGGAAAGGGAATAGGAGAAAAAGAGGTCAGAGTATGTATTTCTTAGGTCCATTCCCTGCTAGGCTGCTTTCCTCAGGAAGGCCATAACTCCTGGCAGGCAGTCCCCTCTAGCAACCACAGCGATGGCTCTTCCCAAACCCTGGATTCTGGGAAGCCAACCTCTTCCCTTGTCACTTCAGGCCTAGCAACGGGAAGGTTCTATTAGTTTTTGTTGGCTTCCATTAACCCCACCCACACCTGTATTTAATTCTCCTTGATTGTCTTGTTTAATAAGTGTGCTCATTCACACACACACACACACACACACACACACACACACACACTTAGAAAACCCAACTCAAACTGGCTTAAATATC